TGCTCATAACAGTATTCAAAGTGGAAGGCTTAGTAAGAAAATACAGATCATGAGTACAGCCAAAATATCTTTTACAGGCGAATTATTCCCCGCCCCCGCCAAATTCCCTATAGAATCTTATTAGGCCTTTTTGCCTCAATATTTTCTTACCATACCCCAGTTTCTCTCTCCTGTGTTCTTGCTTCAGAGGATTTGATAACCCAAGAACATCTAGTATCTCTGTGTCTGTAACAGCGTTCCCTCTAAGCTGCATGGTGTGTGCAGCTCCGCAGGCACACCTGACAGCACATGATGTGCACACCCGCACGGCTGTGCACACCACACAGCTTAGAGGGAACGCTGGTCTGTACTTTACAAATCTGCTTAATTTGAGTCTTCAACATCACTGTGCTTCTATAGCTGAAGGCGTAGTTTGGTTATCACTGTATGGAAAGAATTAAATTATACTGTCATCAAATCAGAAAGTCATGATTTACATAACATGGACATTTTTGTTTTGTTTTGTTTTCATGATGGAAGATGTTTTTTAGTTGCCATCAGAAACATCCTTCCAAAATATGCTTCCAAAAACATGCAGGTACTTAATGGATAGCTAAACTGCAAAGCTTTTAAAACATGTTTTCAACCCCTAGAACATCCTTTAAGCTGTCCATCCCTATTACTGTGAATAATAACACAGCTTCCCCCCTTATGTTTTGGGGAGCTACAAAGACCAAATACTTACAGACATTTTTTAGAACCAAATGAACCAAGCCCTTTAAGACTAAGTATATATGTTGGCGCTATTTCTCCCTTCCTCTATCCAAACATACTTAAATACATTCTAGAAATGTTGCTCTCACTCTATGCCAGGCTTTTACATTTCAGAAAAGTTTAGGATAAGACATAGGCGAAAAAGTTATTCTTGCTTAATCTACTTTTTCATAGCAGGTTGTGTCTGGACCTTCCACACATCATGCAGAAAGTTTCCCCTCCAGCAATGATTCTATCATCTGCTTGGCTGATGCTATCTGGTGGCTTAAAATTTTAAACTCAAAGCAACAAAGCAAAATATCTACTTTCAAGTGACTTTGCTAAATACATCAGAGATTAACATTGTTGCTTGTCCTAGGGTATGCGCACACATTTGCCATACCCATTCTATGATCATTAGGTGAGAGACAGACCCCCCCCCTCCCCCAGCCTGTGTCTCACCCATTGACTCGTCAATCTACATTTTCACTGACTACCTGTCTTGTATGCATACCAGCCCAGCTACAGGCACCATGGAATCATTTACACTTTAGATTATGTCTAGCAATTCAGTTTATCTCAGCGTGGCATTGGGTATTTTGATGCTCCTTTCACACTGCTTAAAAATCTTTAATGGAAGTGCCTGACTATTTCTTAACACCATTCAAGATTATACTGACAGCTTTAAAACATAACACTCACATTTGGAGGGACATAACTCCAATCTTGCATCCTAAATGATAAGGCTGAAAATTCAGGACCTATATTCTCAGTGCAGTATAATCTGTGGTTCATCTTATTTGAGATTCCATTTACCCAAGTTTTTGTATCATGTGACTTTACAGGACCAATGGAGAAAAATGTGTGTGAATCTTAGGGTCTAAAGTGAGTAATTATGTACTGGGCATGTCTACATGTGCATTAATGTGCTTTAGTTAATGTGCATTAAATCTAGTACCTCCATTGTGAAGTACTAGGAAAATGTGCATTAGCCTGTCTTAATGGTCATTAACTAAAGAGCATGGGGTGCCTATGCACAAGCAGGGAGGCTGCTCCGATGCACTAGAATTTGAACACATCAGAGCAGACTCTGTTAATCAAGTCTGTTGGAGCGTGGCAATTACCATGCTTCAGCAGCCTCCCACATTTGATGAGCTTTAGATAAACACCCGCCTCCCACATTTGATGAGCTTTAGATAAACCCCCCTCCCTCCATTTTGAAGTGCAGGGACACTGGTATATGAGACGTTCCAGGTGCTTTAATAGAGTGGCTCTCAAACATTAAAATAAACTAATGTGTATTAAAGTGCATGTGTAGACGCACCCACTATTGAGAAATGTAGTGACAGACTAGTAATATCCAAAAGACTAGACTGGGGTAATGGAGAAAGTTAATGTTTCCTTTTTGCTTCATGGAAATCTCTCCTCCATCTAGTTTTTATACATCATCCTCTATAATTGTAGTAATTTACCTTATACTTCTCCAGGGCTGGAGGAAGAGTGAGGGGGTGGGGGGGACGAGACAATTGTGGTCCATATTACAGTTGGCTGAAGATCAACAATCCCATTTAGTGACACGATTCAAGATTTTTCAAATGTATTTTATTAATCATTTGGCCAACACCCCCGGCCAACAAAAACCAACAAAAAAACCTTTCAAACATTTTCTCAGATCATAACTGTGTCAAAGCAATTGGGGGTTTTCTTTGAGTCTCTTTCTCTCTTGTTAACTAAATTGTTTATGCTGGATCTCAGGAACTTTTTCTGTCAGAACATTTTGATTGATATACTGATATATTTCCAATAAGTGTTTTGGCTTTGATAAAAGAGTATATTTTGATGGAAAAAAAAATTGTGTAAAATCTTCTGGCCACCGTTAATTCATATATTTTCTTTCTTACTGTCCAGAAGTTGGTTTTGCTGTGTAAAATGTAGCTAGCTCCTTTTCCTGCAGATAAGTTTATGGTATCCGCAAATACGTTTTGTTCATGAAGACCAAAATCTGATCCTGAAGAAGGGCCCTGTGCATCACACTACAGTAATATTCCCATCAACCTTGTAAATCATGCATACTCACGATTTATGTGCTCACTGTCCACTTAATAAATGGCTCAGTTGATACATAAGATAACAGTAGCAGGGAAACAAATCTCCCAGTGAGAATAATACCAAGATACTCCATTTCAAAACAGCTGCCAGTGTATGAGTTTTGCACTTATTATGTGGCTGTTGATAGTTGAAAAGCCCAGAGAGGGAGAACATGACTCACCTACAATATGTTGTTTTCTTTTGCAGGAAAAAGCCCAACATTTACAGAAGGTTCTTATTTCCCAAGCAGATAAATCCACACAGACTGAACTTGTAGGCCATGATGTAAGTAGCTGTATTAAACAGTATTTTTTTTATCATCTTTTATTGGTTTTCAGACTTCTGTCTGTTTATTTGCCTGTGCTACTGTTGTGTCCATGCATTGATTTAATAGGATTTAGTAGAACACTGTTCATCTCTTGCTTGTAAATGATTCTCAAATGCCTTCTGCAATAGAAAAAGATAATTGCAGCTACCTGTCAGCATACCGATATCCTATTAATTGCTGTTTTACCAACAGCTCCAATATATTCTCCAGAGTTGGAATAGCCACAAACAAATGGGGGATACCTATTAGTAGATTGTGATTTCTTTTTTTGGTATTAAAAAGGTGTTTATTTGCTTATTAACAACTTAAGTTATTGTTTGTAATTACCTGAGAACAAGCAAATCATCTTTATGCTCTAGCACTATAATAAGAGATGCAACTTTTCCAAATACTTATGTATTGTGAGTAAACTAATTAAAAATTAGAATTTTTATCTTTGTGCATTAATACCATCTATATACTCAGTAAAACTACAGAAACATGATTATCAAACATGACTGTCAATAAGAGCGCTATTTCTGTAGTACATGTGTACTCTGCCAAAAGTCTTTCTTTGTGAGTTTGGATAATTTTATGCCTGACTGTGTATGGATAAAGAATCTTCAAATCATGAATCTTGACTTAAGTGCATCCCAACTTTTTATTTGTGTTTTTTTGGGTTTTTTGTAATGTAAGAGTTTCTTACCATACTTATGTTTGAAGGTTGCTGTACCAAGTAAGGCTTTGATTATATCATGAGGTACATGAATGTGGTTCTGTTGTGTTCAGTAGTCTGTCTATGTACTATTGATGGGACTATTTGGGGTCTAACTAGTGTCTTAAAAACCTCAGGTGAGGTATGCTTCTCATGGAAAATCTTTACTTTTCAATTTGAAGTGTGTACAAAGAAAACAGTTTAGCAGTTTATATAAATGAATAACCCCCAGCCTAATTCAGAAGTGTTCTTATTTGAGAAAGTATTTAAGTTTGTTAGTACTTACATGTCTTTCTAAGTGAGCATGAAATAGAGTGCATGCTAAAATGCTTTCCTGAATGATGACAAACTTTTTTAAGAGTGTAGACACATTTAACATTGTTTTAAACAACAAGGTTTGTTGTTTGTTCTTGTACATCTCACACTGGAATAAAGTTTTAACTTTTTGTTCCTTACATTTGCCCTGGTTTGTTTTTGCGTATTGGTAGCAATATCTGCAACCTGTTTTGCAATATTCCTCTGCATAATTGTGAAATGATTAGAAAGCTTTTGGGAAATGTTGCAAATGTAAGGAAAACCTGTTTAAATGCTTGAGTACTCTGGGAATGTACCAAATGCACCCATCAAGATGGCTTTCATATTGCTTGAGCGCTGGTACACATATTGCCTCTCTGTGTTGGAGGAAATTAGCCCTTAGCCCCAAGAGAGGACTCTATCATCCAGAATTTTAAACTTGACATACTTTCTCTTGCATAAGTGAATAGTCTCATTTCTGTGCTATGACTGCATATTTAGACAAATTTTATTTGTATTTGGAACCTCAAGCCACAACTGATCCATCCTGGCATCTGCCAGTTTTCTTTAATATTTAGTTGCCATGGAAAGGTTGCCCTTTTATAATCTGGAGGTTACAGTGGACCATAAGCTGAATATGAGCCAACAGTATAAACTTGTGGGAAAAAACCCAACAGCATTCTGGGTTGTATTAATAGGAGTGTCACTTGCAAATCAAAGGAAGTGATTTTCCCTCTCTATTTAGCACTGATGAAGCCACACTTGGAGCACTGTGTCCAGTTTTAGGTCCCACACTTCAAGAATGACATGGACAGTTTGGAAAGAGGCCAGTGCAGGGTGACAAAAATGATTAGGAGCCTGGGAGGTGAGATTTATGAGGAAAGGCTGAAAGAACTAGGGTCATTTAGCCTGGCAAAGAGAAGACTGAGGCAGGATTTGATAATTGTCTTCAAATACCTGAAGGATGAGAGAGGATGGAGATGGGCTTTTCTCTATGGCGAGGACTAGGAGCAGTGGCCTTAAGTTTCAGCAGGGGAAATAGAGATTAAGAGGAACTTTCTGATTGTGGTAGTGGTCAGGAATTGGAACAGACTTCCTAGAGAATTTGTGGAATCTGTATGCTTGGAAAGTTTCAAAAGCATGTTAGACAGACATTTGGCTAGGGTAGTTTAGTTAGAGATTATTCTGTAGGAGGCTGTACTAGATGACCTTGTGAGGTGCCTTCCAGCCCTAATTTCCTGTGCTCCCAAGTCATTGTCCATCTCAGTAGAATTGAAACAGTTCTCCCCACTTTCCCGATTTACTTGCACAGAGATAAACATTAGGAAAAATGAGGACATGTTGAAATTCCCTCATAATCATATAGTTCCGTACATTACTTTTTTTGCTTTCCCTTTGAAGATAGCACCCTGTATTCAAGGGAATATGCTGTTGGGAGGGAAAATAAATGTTTATTTCTAGGGGCTTCATTGATAAGTTGAGTGTCTTAGGGCACATTTACATGAGATGCGTTAATGCACATTAGCTTAATTTAATGCACATTATGGGCATGTGTCTACATGTGCCCACCCTTAATGCGCATTAAAATGGTAAAATTAAGCTAATCACAACTACATTTGATGCCTGCAAATGCAGGCATCAAATTTAGGCATGGTTACTTAAAGTGCACTAATGCACATGTAGACATGATCCAGCACTAACTTTATTGCCGGGTCTGCCCAGCCACTAGAGGCACATGGCAGGGCTGCAGGGTCTAGGCGCTAACTTCAGTGCCAAGTGCACTAACTTTAGTGCCAAGTCCCTGAACATGTAGACACTTGCCAAAAATTGCTTAGTGTGCATTAACTTAATGCACATTTAATTTAGTCATGTACATGTAGACATGCCCTTAATGCATCAAAGAAAGCAACACTTCTTTACTATGCTGTATCTCTCAGGGTCAGACCATATTGCTTCTGAATCACATTCTGCTTCATTTAATCAGTATTAACCTTCATGACACATCTTTTCATTTCATTGTCAGTAAAGAGCATATTTGTAATGTGAGGAGTTATTGTAAGCTAGATGAAATAAATTTTAATCACTTTCTATAAATATGTTTTAAGGGGATGCAGGTTGAAATAATAGTTCAGCAGCATCAATTTTCCTTCCTCCAGGATTGAAGCCCTTAGGCAAAGTTTAGTGGCAGTGATGTACACTGCCTTTGAAAGAAGCAAGCTAAGTACAAAGATGTTACTGAGTGCCCATTCCACACCTCTTTATCCACAATGAGTTAGTTGTTGGATCAGGTCCACAACTATTAGTAAGGGATTTTTTAGATTAATTCACAGTGATGGGGAAGAAGACATTTGCTTGGAATTATAAGCAACTACAAAAATTGAGTTGGAATGCTTGTGTGAAATGCAGTACTTTTTCACATGGTTTCAAATGCAGACAAGTTAAAACATGCTTTATTATTGAAGGGACAATGGATCATTACAATGGTATTATATCCTGTGTTAAAGAGTTACTTTTAAGATTCCTAAGGTTATCAGAATAGTATTCCCCTTTTTTTGAACAGTTAGTTAATAATCAAACTAAAGTTATCTCCTTCCCCTTCCCTTTATTATTATTCTGAGCAGCAGTTTCTTAACAGTATTTTGTGCCAGCAAATCTTCAAGATTCCCCATTGTCACATCCCTACTGTGTTATAGCTGGAAACATCAACTGTGTCACCATATGTTTTCTCATATAACTTAATGTGACATGGCAACATAAGCAGATGTGGATTTTTTTTTTATAGGAAACAGTACAGCCACCTGCGTTGATTTGTCTTGTATAGGATCCTTGGGAAAATTGTGGTACACTAAGTAGATGAAGGAGAAAAGTGAAACTGTTTCCCTGCAAAAGTGTGTGTTGACCATCTTGACTAGAATGGAACCAAGACATGGGGAAGTGAAGGGAATATATACAAAGTAGCAGCACACTACCTTTCACAAGATTGTAGTTTACATAATTTGCTTTGTTCATGTATCAAATTTTGTGTCTCTTTACAGGTAATGGTGAAATTGGTTCTTTCCTATTGAAGTCAGTTGTGATATACATACATATTTCACAGTATGAAATAATATTGACCAGAATGTAACCTTATTTAAGAGTCTTTGGGCACATCTGCAGGTGCTATTAAGGCAAAGCGATAAACTCTGATGCTTATTGCATCAGAGTTTATTGCCACCAGGCACTGCATTTACACGTGCACCTAGGACTGCAGGAAATTGAGGGTTGGAGCAGCCCTGGCTGGCAGGGAGCCCAGGGAGTCAGCCTGCCAGCTCAGGGCTTCTCCAACCTTGCTCACCATGCTATGGAGGGGCTGGCCTGGGATACAAGAAGTAATGTGGGGCTAGCCAGCTGCCCCAGCCAGCCGTGTCAACATCTACACATGCTCAGCTGCAGAGTAAAAAACTCCACAGCAGGACAGTACTTGTTACTACAAGTATTACCCTACTGCAGAATTAGTTCATTTCCTGCAGCCTATTAGTTAGTTTCCTGTATGCCTTTGAATACGAATGTGTGTATATATAATTGTGAAACAAAAATCAAAAGTCTGGTATGGATGTAACTGAAGGGGAAAGGAAGTGGGAAAGAGAATAAAGAAGCTGTTCTGTTGAAGAGGTCATGCTGATTGCCAAGTTTAGGGATGGTGACCAAAAGTTTGAATGCAGTTTTTCTTGTTCTCTTGAAATTTACTGTGTGGATATCACCATCATACATGGGACATAATTAGGGTTACATTCTTAATATCTATAACAATCACTGAGGTCTATTTTTATTGAGTCATGTGTGATCAAAAACAATTGCAGTTACTTGGTAAAAGTTGGTGGACATTTCTATTCTTTTTCTCCCATCCAGAATCAGTGCCAAAAGGCACTATTTCTGTGCAAACAAGCAAAAAAGATATAAAGGACATACCTATGAACTAGAAGCAAAAAT